CACGTCTGTAGTTTCCAGCTACTTGGAAGGCTGAGGCGGAAGGATCGCCGGAGCCCAGCAGGTGGAGGCTGCGGTGGCCGGAAGCGGCCACTGCACTCCAGTCTGGGCGACAGAGTGAGACTCCAACTCAAAAAAAAAAAAGAGAAATAAAAATAAAACATGCTGGCATCCGCTCTAATCACAGAAAAACCCAAATGTAGTATTCATTTCTATCTCTCTGGTATGCTTTTAGCACATAGGGCTTAACCTTCAAGCCACGGTCAAGTATACTGGGAACACCTGTAAGAACGGCCAGGTATTTATAGCCTCAGGTACAGGTCTTCTGGTGGGCAGCAATTCCCCCGGCCCCCCGCCTTCCAGCCCACTTCTACTGCACCGTAGCTCCAGACCCTGGCGCCGTACCCAGTTGCTGCGCCGTTTGCCTGGACGTATTTTCTCCCACCCAAATCTACTCCAGCTGGTTTTACGCTTCCCAGACCCCAGCCCGACAACTAAGCATGAATCTGGGTTACCTCCTCTGCTTGATTTGGCTTTCTGGTGATAGTCTGATGGTTTCTAGAGTCGTGAACGTTTAGCATTAGAGACGGGCTCTTCCCCTAGTAACATTTCCTGAGCTCAGTGGAACTTTTTCCTGTGGATTGGACTCCTCCGGGACACTTCCTGCCCTGCCTTGATACCAGATATGTCTGCTCCTCCCTCTCCTGCTATGAAGCCCCACCTTCCCATTTCCAAGAATGACAGGCAGTCTCAAGGTCCACAGGTCTGGTTTCCAGGTCCAACTCCAAACTGAGTATTCAACTAGGCTAAAACTTGGATTGATCTTTGTGGATCAGTCCCTGATAGGGCATCTTACAGAATTCAGGTGACTGTGGTAGCTGTGTTAGATTTGATGCAGGGCATCCAAGGGGCCATAAGACTGGGTGCGTGTGGGGTAGTATCAATAGGCTTCATACGTCCAACCCTCACTCACAGGACCAAATTCTAATGCCCACAACTGATCTTGGACCTATACATACCTAGAGCAGAGGCCAGGGTGTTATCAAGGCCATCTGGCTCTCTTGCCACTAGAATACCCTGGAGACTAAAATTGTGCTTAATAGGTGACCAGGTAAGAGGTTAGAAGGATCGTGCTGGGTTTAGAGAATCATGCCTAGGAAGTAAGGCATTGGGAAGATTAACCTGACTCCGAGCATCAAAGTGGAGGTGAGTCTATTCTAGAAGCAGAAAATCCAAATGGGATGGTATTGAAGTCATTCATGGGTGAGGCGATAAATCTTGGACTAAGAATGTCACAGTGGCAAGGGAACAATGAATCCACAAGACTGTAAGGAGAAAGACACTCCAGGATTTGGTCACAGGTTAGCTACGGGATCAGAAAGCATAGAGTTCAAAGTTACTTCAGGCTCTGGAGTCTAGAAGGCCTCACTAGAACAGAAAAGTAGTGCCTTTAGGCTGGGCTTAGTGGCTCAGCCTGTAATCCCGGCACTTTGGGAGGCTGAGGCAAGTGGATTGCCCGAGCCCGCGGGTTCGAGACCAGCCTGAGCAACTTGGTGAGCCCTTGTCTTTACTATAAATAAAAAATTAGCTGGGCATGGTAGTGCACACCTGTAGTTCTGGGTACTCGCAAGGCTGAGATGGAAGGATCGCTGGAGCCCAGCAGGTCAATGCTGGGGTGGCTGTGAGCGTGCCACTGCACTCCAGCCTGGGTGATGGAGTGAGACTCAAATTCAAAAAAAAAAAGAAAGAAAGAAAAGAAAATTAGTGCTTTGTTTTGGAGGTCTGACTTGATGTGATGGCATAAAAAGATCAGAAAAACAGCTAAACCTTGAGATCACATCCCTCTGAATGATCCTATAGAAAATGAGTTCCAAAGTACGTTGTTGAAAAGGAAATACATTATATTAGGTATTTTCTATCATCACAAAAACCAACAAATAGCTTTCTTTCATATTATTTTTATTAATACTTATAAAATGATTTATGAAAATATTTTTCTTTTCAAGATATAGAAACTACAATCTTTGCAAAACATACACACCCATCATTGTTACAAGACATATCCTTGAACACACTGTGGACGTTAAGTGTTTGAGAATCATACCCTGTAAGAGTTGGGAGAAGGAACATCACCAACCAAGTACTTAAACCACTGTTGAAATAAAACATGTTTCTAGCATATAGGCCCAAAGGAGTTTAACTTTCAAGGTCCCAGAGCTTCTTTCATTGTGCAAGATAAAAGATTAGGAAAGCGTTCCCTGAGAGTTAATCCACCTTAGATAGCTCAAGTAGGGGTTTATTTTCCACACTTCGTCATGGAACTAAGGGAGAGAAGGCCATGGAAACTCCGCGTGGGCTGGTCTCCACCCTGCCATCCCTACCTGTCGAGCAGGGATCCATAGATGTCCAAGCACGGCTTCAAAGGTGACATCTAAGACATCTCTGAATTCTAAAATGCTCTGCTTCTGTAATTATCTAAGATATTTGCAGAAGGGTGCTTTTGTCATCTAAATTCCAATGCTGCCAATTAAAGACAGAGAGAACTCGCCTAAAGAGACTTCATTTAGGATTTGTCAGGTGGAATGCATTTGAGAAAATCAGCAAGCCAAACATTCCGCCTTCGAATTATTGGAAAAGATTCTTTCTCAGCCAGGCATAAATCCCAGAAGCCAGGTTCCTCTTTGCTTTGGAAAAACCAGGAGACGGTGGGAAAGGAGCCCATAGCCTTTCAACTCCCAAGCTTAAGACACTAATAGGCGCCAAGTCTGACACGTAAGAGCCAGAGGCTACTGCAGCCTCACCAGGAAAGGGTTCATTGCCACAAAGAATCCCCTGCACATGCACCCAAAGTCTGCCTCGCAGCCCAAACTTTCCTAGATATGAAATTCTAACTGTAGAATCTTGGCCTGATAAAGTTCCAGATATAAAACATGTTATTTGAAATCATGACGTTAGGAGCATGAAGAAGTACTGACATTTAACCTCATGCTGATATGCTAGAATTTAACCGTGATTTTTTTTTTTTTGCTATGCAAGTGAGTCAAACGTGGATTCACAAGTCTTTACATTTAGTATGTAACATGAAGCATAATCACATATAATTTCAAAACTATAAAAATAAGTTTCATAGCAGTCCTACAGTTTTAACATTTTTTTTAAATTAAAAAAACACATAGTCCAAAGTTCTCCCAGTTGACTTAGAGGGGAAGGGAGGTACTTATTAGGGTGAACCATTGGAAACTAGGGTTTTTGCGAGTTAAAATAGTAAAATCTTGGCAAATTCATATGGTTCAAACTAGTAAGATCCTGAGAGAACTGTATTTGGTATCATGCTATAAATTCAGAGAATTGGTAGAAAATCACATTTCTAGTGAAAACACTTCAGGATGGAAGTGTGCATCCCGTCATGCCAAGATTTCTCTTTGTCACTTAAAGATACAAAACCTTGGGATGTTAAGGAAAATGCAGTTTTCAAAAAAACTGAGGACACTCAAAACTACAGAATGATAGCTACAGTTGCTAATGACACTGAAACAAAACTGCTAGCCAAACCTGGTGATTTAAAGACTTTTTAAAAGAGGTTATGTAATAAAAATTCCAGCATTAAAATGAAAAAGGCACAAATATGAGTTGCAAGTATGATAGTCATTTATAAAAATCCTTGAAAATAAGGCTAATTCATCTGTATTATAAACACCATGAAGCAGGCACCTATTCTGAATTTTAGCTTTGGCCTCCTACATGGAATTATGTTGCAAAAGAATTATCAATATAAAACTAATTATAGCAGCATTATCAGGAAGTTTCTTAGGCTCTACACTGCTTAAAGGATATCTACAATTTCCTTCCCACCCATATCCCATCAGTACCAAAAAATACATTTAAAAAACTACATATATTACTAGTCATACAATTTGGGGTTTGTTTTTTTTTTTCATACAATGAGTTCTCCTGTCACCAGTCATCCTAACCAAAAAAAAAAAAAAAAAACCCAAAAATCAAACAAAAGCTACCCAAAAAAACCACTAGACCAAATAGATCTAACAATGCTTAACTAATTAAAGACATACCAGCCGGGCTCGGTGGCTCAGCCTGTAATCCTGCGCCTTGGGAGGCTGGGGTGAGTGGATT